GATTGGGACTGACATGTATACACTGATGTGTATCAAATGGATGACTAATAAGAAAATAAATTTTAAAAAATAACATTTTTTTCTAACGTTTGGACATTTCAGCAAGAGTGTTTTTTTAATTATACAGATAATTTCTTTAATATACCACATCACTCTTTGCACATGTGTGGGACCCAATATTTATATACAAATACAGTCTTACAAAAAGTAGGTAACCCCAGTTGGATTAAAAATCATATTCATGGAAAATTTCTAAATGAATACAAAAGATACTGTTACCAATAAATATTATTTCTGAAGAGTGAGGAAAGGGAATTTTTTGATCAGTGAGGTCACCAGACTTACACTTTTTACAGTGTATGCTTCTGTACTGTTTTTTTAATTAATTTTCTTTCTTTCTTTCTTTCTTTTTCTTTCTTTCTTTCTTCCTTCCTTCCTTCCTTCCTTCCTTCCTTCCTCCCTTCCATTTCTTCCTTCCTCCCTTCCTCCCTCCCTCTCTCTCTCTCTTTCCCCCCCTCTTTCTTTCTTTCTATTTCTTTCTTCTGTTAACCCCAGAAGACCAGTGTGACCACCAAGGTGTACTTTTTATTGCTTTTACTCCCCTTCCTCTGACCCTTACAAGTGCTGGCCCTTTATTCCCACCTTATAGCTAGACTAACTCCAGCTCATCGTCAACACCATTGGGGATGTCTTCTGTGCCATTTCTTTGCAACTTTTGGGGCACTAACACCTGGTTGGGAGACTACCTTGGAAGGGATAGCATCTAAAATCGTAAGTGCAAATATTGACTAAATTGCACGGTGGATTTTGACTTAAGAGTAGAACTTTTGATAGCCCGGGAGTTAGAGATGTCACCTCAGGCTTGTCTGAAATGGGTCAGGCTGCATCAATCCCAACCAATACCCTTCTGGGCCATATACACCAGGGTTGGGAAAGATTTGGACAACAAGAATTAAAAGGAAAAAACTTAGTAGGTTATGTAATCAGGTTTGGCCACAATATGAGTTAGGAAATTTAAAATGGAGTTAAGTACCCTATGTTCAAATTTTCATGGCCTTGTATCTAGACAATGGAACCCAAAAGGAATTTAAGGCATGTGTAGTTCGGGAGGGATAACTCTAAAAAGGACACAGCGGACATTAACTGACCCACCCTACAGGGCCATGGATCCCAAACGAATGTGGATCCCTCCTCCCCCAAGGTATAGGCCTTTTTGGCTTTGCATTTCATAGCCCGGTCTGCCTCAGATTTCAGGTGCAAAATTCGGAAAGCAACTGCTAGTCCTCAGAGTCCAATGAATGATTTGTTCCAACTGGCTTATTTGGTTTGCAGTAATAGGGATATGACGAAAAAGGCTGAACACGCCCAGAGAAATATGCAGAAGGGCCAAATGATTGCAGTGTCTTTGTCCGCTCAGAGACGACCCAAATGGAAGCCAGCTTTTCTGGGTCAATCTGGCCCTGGCAGACCACAAGGCCCACGGGTACCCATACAAGGCCAGTTTACCCTGTGTGGACAAAAGGGGCACTGGCGGGAGGATTGTGATCCATGTGTCCTTTGCAAACAGCCAGGTCACTGGAAGAGGGAATGCCCCAGATGCCAGAGAGCAATGGGGGCCCCTCGGCCATTGGTGGTTTTGCAATCAGAAGACTGAAGGGACCCCAGGCCAAAAGTGGCTCTGCCTAGAGATACCATCTACATAACTAATGTTGAGCCTCGGGTGGTCATTGATGTGGCGAATCAATGTGATAGAATTTCTTATAGACACTGGTGCAACCTTCTCGGTCTTCACCCAAAGGATTGGAAACCTTAGCAATCATAAGGAATATGTAATGGAGTTGTCAGGGAAGAGAAATGGGCACACATTCCTGGAACCCCTTTTGTTCCTGGAATCCCCTTTTGTTTGATCAATGGCCAGCTGTTTTTACATTCCTTTCTGTTTGTGCTTGACTGTCCCATCCCTTTAATGGGAAGTGATTTGTTAACTAAGTTAGGGGCCACTCTTTCTCCAGGGGCAGGGGAACCACTCCCATCACCAAATGGTTCTAACAAAAAGCAAAAAGGAACAGATAAAATCTGAAGCTGAAACAGAAGCCTTAGTAGACCCTGGAATGTGGAATATCGAGGTTCCAGGCTTGGCCAAAGATATCCAGCCAGTGATTATTAAATAAAAAGGGTTATATAGTGTCTAAATGTAAGGTACAAATTTCTTAAACCTAGGGAAGATCCTCAAAAATGTTTGTAAGTAGATTACCAAAATAGGAGGTCACTGGTCTGCCTAAACTGACCATAGCTGATATTCAGAGCCTAATAGGAATTTTGGATGAGGCCTTCTCTGCTAAGCTAAATGAGGAAAAGTAAAACTTTCCAACATAGGTGAATGAGTATGTCAGTCCTTCAATATCATTGAGGTAACCACCCAATTCTTTGAAAAAGAAAACAAAACTGTCCTTGTTTTACAAATGTAGTCTATATAGGACCAGAGGTGTGGCTCCAAAAATAATCCACCAATCCTTTTACCACTCCCCAAACCTTCCCTATTTATCTTAAGAGGCTTGTAAATATTAAACAAAGGGGAAACAAAGTCATCCTAGGAGTAACTTGCCTGTAACTTTGAGATGCAAATGTCCTATCTGGTCTTCTCAGGAACGCATATCTCTGCCATCTTTTTAAATGCAAATTTTAAAGTAAATTTAGAACTTAACTTGTCAAGAATAAATAGAAATCTTAAGTATCTTTTCTGTAAAAACTAGTAAAAAGGGTTTAGCCATCTAGGTAGGTGACCTTGATTTGTTCCATCTCCTAGAAGCCCAATTTGAATCCAACCCCTTGTAACTGATAGCTTTTATGTTGTACCTGACTCAGGGCTGAATTTTGGAATGCGAACTATGAGGCCTCTGTGTTTGTTTGTGTGTTCATATGTATCTATATGTGCGTTGTAGTTGTATGGTATTGCCAAAAATTATTTTGTAAAAGAGCTCCACTTAATTGGCTTTTAAAAAATTAAGCGCTTATATAAATACTCAGAAATAAAAAAACAATCTGGCCAGAATGAATTTCAGGTTCATGTCATCTGGAAGATATTCAGTACTAAACTGATATCTGGTATTGAATGTGGCTTAAGCTTGTTGGTTTGATTAATGTGGACATGTTAGAGTCATCCATGTTAAGTATAATACTTCTGCACCTAGGTTTATCAGAGGTCAAATAAGACCTTATTCTGTTACAAATTTGTCAACAAGAAAAGTAACAGTGTGAAAAAAACTTTTTTTTGGTGTTAGGGAATTCCTTTTTTTTTTTACATCTTTATTGGAGTATAATCGCTTTACAATGGTGTGTTAGTTTCTGCTTTACAACAAAGTGAATCAGTTATACATATACATATGTCCCATATCTCTTCCCTCTTGCGTCTCCCTCCCTCCCACCCTCCCTATCCCACCCCTCCAGGCGGTCACAAAGCACCGAGCTGATCTCCCTGTGCTTTGTGGCTGCTTCCCACTAGCTATCTACCTTACGTTTGGTAGTGTATATATGAAAAAAAACTTTTAAGAGAAGTACAGAAGTACGATATGTGTTTTTAGTAAAAAAAAAAAAAAAGGTGTGAAGAATGAAAAACACTGAAAAGAGTTATGCATGATCAGGATTTTCTCAGACTGGATTGAATTTAGTTGGGTAAATGGATTTTGTTAGGAATGGGCTAGAACCAGACTGGATTTGGTTTCTCCCTCCAGAGTATTATTGAGATGCTGCTTTTGACAACAGATTGAGTTTCTTTGCCTTTAAGTGACTTGTATTTGCTTTTGAGATCTTTTTTAACTTTGGTTGAGGAATAAGTATTGTCTCACAGTAACCTATGATCTTATTTGACCAAGTGTTTCAAACTTTTTTGACAAACTTCCCAAATATCAAATTTCAATTAAGTTTCTTTTGATTTCCAGCTAACTTTGGGGTACTTTAGAGGTCCCCTGAGGTACCTTAAAGAGAAATATTTAACTAGGATTATTTGATATGTTCAATGTAATCATTCGTAATTGTGGTTATTGTAACCAAGTTTCTTTATCGATTACACTGTAATCAGATGTTTAACCATGCCTTTTAAGTCTTTGGTCATTTATGGATATTTCTGTACTCTGATGCTGTTATAAAAAGTGCTTCATCATCAGGGAGATTCATAGAAAGGCAATGGAAACAATTAGAACAGTTCTACAACAAGATGATGGCTATGCGAGGATTCCAGCCCATACTGACTTAAAACAGGGATCTGCCCTGCCCCTGGGGCCCCTAGATCAGGCATCCAGAGATTTTTACTCCCTGACAGGCAGGGTCGACTCCCCTACTCAGCCTTGAAGCAGTTACAGAAGACAGACCATCACCCTTCGGCTTCCCATAAGAATATGGGAGTAAAATCTCTGAGGGGTAATGAAACAGGAGGGAGGGAGGCAGGGCATAACCTCTGAAAGAATGACATGGTCCGAAGACATGACATAAACTAATCAGAATCAAATGGGTCCAAGATGGCAGACAAGTCGACTTCCGCTAGACCTTGAGCCTCAGTATATGCTCACATCAGCAACCTAAATGACACACCCACAGGCTCCATGACAGTTCCATAAGGATCAAAAAGTGGGTGGTGGCCCAATTCCTGGAAATCCCCACCCCTTCCTAAAATAGCTGGAATACTCCTCCCACTCTTTAGCCTATGAAATTACCCACCACTATAAAAACTGACAACCCCACACCCTTGTGCCTTTTCTCACCTTCTGAGATGGCCCAAACTCTGTCTGTGGAGGGTGTTTCTCTCTAAATAAATCCACTTCTTACCTATCACTTTGTCTCTCACTGAATTCTGTCTGTGATGAGACATCAAGAAGCTGAGTTTCATTAAGTCTTGAAACCAGGTGTGTGATCTCAGTTGGAAGACTGTGGGTTTGGGCTGGGTTTAAGTCCCGGCCGTGTGGATTCAAGTCCCCAGTCTGGGTTTTGGCTGGGTTCAAGTCCCAGCCTTGTGGGTTCAAGTCCCAATCTGAGGTGCATGGTTTCACTTCCACTCCTCTCCCTGACACTTTGCTTTTCTCTGGTCATACTCCATTCCTAGGTACATATCAGTGTATTGGCTGGAACTCTCCAAATTGTACCTCTACTCTCTCTAGGAAGAGCTATTCTTAGGGCTATAATCTGGAGCTCATTGTTGTGTGGGTTGTGGCAGGGGTTTTGTTTGTTTGTTTTTGGCTTTTTTCTCTTGTTAGGAAAGACTAGTCTATTGTGTGAGTCCATATTTGATGGCTAACTCCACCTATTCAGGTTGATGTGAGGGAGTAGGCATTTGCCTCTTACTACATGGAAAAGTGCCTCGAAACGTTGGCCTCCCCGTGCTATCCTAATTCCTAGCATTGAAATCAATTCTATTTTTTTTTTTTTTTTTTTTTTTTGGGGACTTTTTTTTTTTTTTTTTTGCGGTACGCGGGCCTCTCACGGCTGTGGCCCCTCCCACCGCGGAGCACAGGCTCCGGACGCGCAGGCTTAGAGGCCACGGCTCACGGGCCCAGCCGCTCCGCGACATGTGGGATCTTCCCGGACTGGGGCACGAACCCGCGTCCCCTGCATCGGCAGGCGGACTCTCAACAACTGCGCCACCAGGGAAGCCCAAATCAATTCTATTTTTAAAACGTAATCCTGTTTTAAATAAAATGGATTCCACTTTGGGCACACTTTAGTATAAATTCATTGATTAATAACAAGCCCCAGTTACTTTCTTGAGGTCACAGGGCTTTGTTTCTGCCTCTACACAAGTCCTCCACACAAGGCAATCATCACGACTCTTGTTCCCTTCACTAATTTTCAGTGGGGACCAGCAGTAGAAGCCAAGGGTACACCTCCCCCAGCATGCCCATGGAAACATATCTTTTGGGGGGTGTGTGTGATGGATGTGATTCAAAAAACTGCTGTCCCCCCAATCTGATATGCCTTGCCAGAAAGTGAATCCCACTTTTAAGAATTTCTAATCTGTGAGAATAAAACCTGAGAGAGGAGCATATAAAATTGAGGAAGTAGGAGGGACTTCCCTGGTGGTCCAGTGGTAAAGAATCCACCTTATAATGCAGGGGATGTGGGTTCAATCTCTGGTCAGGGAACTAAGATCCCACATGCTGTGGGGCAAGTAAGCCCATGCACAACAACTAGAGAGAGAAAACCCACATGCCACGACTAGAGAGAAGCCCACGCGTAGCAACGAAAAATCCCGCATGCCAACGCAGCCAAAAATAAATTAAATGAATAAATAATAAATAAATCTTTTTTTAAAAAAGAATTGAGGGGGTGGGAAAGGTGAGAAGAGAGGGAAAGGGTATAAAGATGGAGTATTGCTCAGAGAGGTTAAGCCTGGACAGGACATCAAAACGAGGGGCCTTGATGGACACCAGAACCTGGGAGGGGGAAGTACATGTGGAAGGAGAAGGCCTGCCGAGCACCCAAAACATATTTAGCCCACTTTACACTTTCAGGGCCAAGTTCATCCACTCTCAGGAGAGTCTCAGCCTGGGGAAGAGCAGTTCTATGAATTTACATGGGAAAATAATCTATATCTCCCCGCATCTGAAAGTTTTCCCGGAGAGTCCATAGCCTTCACAGCATGCCAAAGGGATGAGTGGCTCAAAAAATAGTTTAAGAACCTGAGACTCAGCCATTTTCTCATTACTATGTTCTT